GTCGGTACAAGACAAAACCAGGAATTCTCAGATTTACACCTTTCACTGTCTGCCGCATGTTGTATGAGCACCCGGTGCCTCAGTTTCTCCAGGAGTAACAGAGGAACATTTCTGCTCCCCTAACTTTGCTCTGAGATATTTGGAAGGCAAATGACATGCGGTTTTGGTACAGGGACAGATACTGGGGCTCATTTATAAGATCAAAAAGGACACTTGATTTAAATCCCATTATTGCTGAGAAATGAGGAGTTGAAGGATGCTTGAAAGGCAGCACAATATGTGGGCAGCAATTCCCACACAGCATCTTCTCTAGTTGTAAAACCAGCAAAGCTGAATAAGATGGTTATTTGAGTCACATTTAAGTAGTGGGGTTTCAATCGTGATGCTTTAACCCTGTAAGGTTAGTATCAGAAAGCACAGATGTCAGATTTAATGAAATGCAAGGAAAAATCATAGAATCTTAGAATCGTTTGGGCTGGAAGGGACACATATATATATATATATATATATATATATATATATATGTTGTGATCTGGGAAATAATTTAAGTAGGAAAAATGATAACAAATGCCTTTATTTCTTAAAAATATATTTTTACAATTAAGTTGATATTTCCTAGCTGATAGTGCACTTTTTCTTTCAATTTATATTTGTTTTGGGGAAGTAAATATTTTACTGTTGTCCTCCATTAAACAAGCCTTGAATCAGTAATGAATTAAAATGAAATGTAAGAAAAATAAGTTAAAGACTTCTGGTATTTTTCTTCAAAATAGTACCTTTTCTTTGCAGTCTTGCTTCTGTATTTTGAGTCACTAGTGACAAGATTGACTAAAGAAGCCTGCTTCTAAATTGTTTTGTACGTGTTGCATTAGTCTGGTTCATATTCAGAAAATTACATCAGGTTATTCAGGCTAAGAAGGTCTTTGAATTAAATTCTGTGGCTGTAATGTATCGAAGGTCAGAAAAGATGTGATAATTTCCTGCATGTCCACCAAAAGAGAGGTGATTTGGGTAAAGGGGGGAGTGGGTTTGATGAAACATGAACAGCACTCTAGTTTCCACTTCCTCAAAAGGCTCTAAAGGTTAAGTGTAAGGGGGGAATTAGAAAACAGGTGGAAAAAAAAAAATAATGTGAGCCTTATCTTGTGAAGATGCTGTGAGCTTTCCTTATGTGGTCTAGTGGTGATTTGATTAGTACTTCAGATGAGGCGAATCACAACCTCAGCTCCACTGACTATTGAGTAAATCCTCAACATCTATGGGATAGTCTGGGTCAATCAGCTCTACAGATACCTGCCTTTGGTAGAATAAACTTCTCTGGAGTGACCATTTAGATAGAAACGGGACAAGGACCTGATGGCCTCCATAGTAGCTAAATGTTGGACAAACAAGGTGCCTAAGCCTCACTGAAGATCCTTTCCTTAGTTCTTCTGTGCCTCAGTTCCCCATCTCCGAAATGGGATTCAACACATTTCACAGGTGTGTTGAGAGCACAAATGTTACCAGTGAAACAAGTTTTCTAGACCAACTCCTGTGGTCCCAGTGCAGTGATGATACGGTAAGGTCACACACCAGCAGGCA